TTTTTTTGAGTCAGTCTTGCTAGAACTTATAATCTGCCTGGCTCAGTCATAGCAAGAACTACATAGATATTGGAGGGATGGTTGTTTGTGTTGTTTTTGAGATAGTCTCTCTCATTATGCAGTTCAGGCTGGCCTTGAACTCACTATGTAGCCCAGGCTCACAGCTTACAGTGATCCTCCTCCCTCACATTCCCGAGTGCTGGGATTATAGGTGTGCAACACCATGCCAGAGTTAATTTCTTGTCTTTTTTATTATAACTACGCCAGTAGGAACTCACTATGGTTTTCATTTGCATTTCCTAACAGCTAATGGTTCTGAATATTTCATGTGCTTATTAATCGTTTGTGCATGTTTTTGTAGAAGTATATTCAAGTTCTTTGACCATTTTTAAATTGGGTTATATTTATATTGAATTGTAAGAGTATTTTATATATTCTGGACAAAAGCCTCTTTAAAAAGATGATTTGCAAATATTTTCTCCCATTTTGTGTGTTGTCTTCATTTCTTTCTTTTTTTACCAAAGATTGAACCCAGGGAGCACTGAGCTGTATCCCTAGTATAACCCTACTCAACTTTTTTTTGATATAAGTTGCCCAGGCAAAAGTAGAACTTGCAACCCTACTGCCTCATCCTCTTTCAGTGCTGGAGACACATTTCATTGCAGCTGACTGGAGTATGTTTTTCTATTAATCTTTTAGATGGAGTTTGTTATTGTGTTATTCAAATATTCTATGATCTTATGATTTTAATATTTTTGTTTTTGATTGTTTTAAAAAGTTTGTAAGGAATAAGAACATTTAAAATTTTGCCTTATCAAAATCCATGATCTTCAAAAATATTTTATATTAACCACAAATGTATTTCTTACACATTTGGTTTTTTTCCTTATACTTTTTTTTTTTTTTTTTTTTTTTGAGACAGGGTCTCACTGTGTAGCCCAGGCTGGCCTCAAATTCGCAGCAAAAGAAGAAAATCACATCCTTTTTTTTGTCCAGTAGATGGTTGCTTTGATCTAATTTAGTAGAAGAGTATAGCTGGGCATGGTGGAACATGCCTATAATCCTAGTATTCAAAAGGCTGAGGTAGGAAGATCTCCATGAGTTTGAGGCTAGCCTGGGCTACATAGTGAGTTCAAGGTTATCCTGAGGTTCATAGGGAGATCCTGTCTCAAATAACAAACAAACAAACAAAAAAGTAGGATAGTACAATATATTTTAATTGAGGTAACTATTTGCCAAGAAACTGCACTTACTTTGGCTGGGAGACTGCTCTGGCGAGGTTTCTGTATCAAAATGTGGACCTGAAGAAGTATGAAGAACTCTCTTACTGTTATTCTCCCATCCTTGAGTTTCTGAGAAAAGAAAAACAAAGCTTGTATGATCATTGAGTATAAGCAAACT